CGCCAGGCTAACTGGCTAGGAGAGTCAGCTGTGTCTGCAGTGGGAGAGCTTCTGTGCTGGATCTCTAGGGCAGTGCTAGTCTAGCGTTTGCCTGAGGCTATCCAGCAAATGGCTCTGCGCAGGGCTTGGGCGGGGTGGGTCCCAGGGAATCTACAAGGTGGGCAGAGGGAGCAGTTATGGCTGCTCTCAGTTCCATCCCTAGGGGCTCTGCCTCACAGAGTCCCAGCAACAGCTGCAAACCTCGGAGAGAAAGCTGCCTTCGAGTTCCGACTGAAGCCAGACAGTCCCGCTTCTCCCGTTTGAGTCTGGGTCCCTAGAGACTCTCCCGGATCTGGAGCTCAGAGTCTGAAACTCCCTCCCGATTGAAAACACCAACCGCACCCTTAGCCGCCAGCCCGCTCTGCGCGCACTCCGCACCTGAGTATTTCACTTCAGCACTGCGCCTCCTCTGAGTCTGGGTATGATATTCTCTTTCCTCCTAGTTGCAGAATTTCCACTCAGCCAGCCCTCCTGTGGTTCTGGATGATGTCTGTTCCGTCTTTTAGTTGTATTTTTGAATTGGTTGTTCGAGGCAGCAATCTCCGGCGTTAACCTATGCCGCCATCTTGGTTTCCACAGGGTCCTTCTTTTAACTAACAATCATCTCATATAGTTTCTAGATTTTTGGATTATAGAGTCCTATCAGATTTAAAAAGTAATACTGGAGGCCCAACACAAGGCTACCAATTTTATTAAGACCATCAAACATACTCAAAAGACCAATCTCATCCATTTTTTTATTTCCTCAAAAGGCCAACTTATTCAGAATATCAATTTATCATAATCAATGATGAAAATTCAGGCTCATTTAGGTATGTACAAAAATAAAAGCAATTCTCAATTCTATTATATACAACTAGAGGCCCGGTGCACGAAATTCGTGCACAGGGGGGCGGGGGTCCCCTCAGCCTATCCTGCAATGACGCAAGCATTCTGCGCCCGTTCTGGCCAAAGGCATTCCATGGCCGGGTGCAGAACGCAAGTGTTCCCCCCGGCCCCCGCCAGCTGCTCTGTGCCTGCTGCCCAGAGGCCCTCCGCGGTTGCAGCAACAAAGCAAGCATTCCGCCAGGCCACTCATGGTGCCTGCTCTCAGCAGCCTCCTCCCCAGCCCCCCCCGGGACTGGGGGACTTCAGCAGGGCCACCATCTTGTGGCTATGGGAGCCACCATTTTGTGACGGAATGATGGTTAATTTGCATATTACCCTTTTATTAAATAAGATTTAATAACTCTGGGAGAAATGAGATAAAATGAGAAACAATAGCCCTCTGGCTACCTTTCCATCTTTTTTACCACAAAGTAGAAAAGTAATAATTATGGTAAACCAGGGAATCTAGCTAGGATGCAATGTAGGGCATTCTCCATAAATCATATTTTGACCCCAACACAAAACAGAAAAGGTGGCTCCAAACTAGCACTGGCCTTCACAAAGGCAACTGTGATCCGTTGACCTTTCCCAACCACTCACAACATACTCCCTGTATTTAACAGGCCATCCGCTAACCCAGGGGTGGGCAAACTTTTTGACTCGAGGGCCACAATGGGTTCTTAAACTGGACCGGAGGGCCGGAACAAAAGCATGGGTGGAATGTTTGTGTGAACTAATATAAATTCAAAGTAAACATCATTACATAAAAGGGTACGGTCTCTTTTTTTTTTTTAGTTTTATTCATTTCAAACGGGCCGGATCCAGCCCATGGGCCGTAGTTTGCCCACGGCTGCACTAACCCATCAAATCACAACTTCCACCATCCTCAACATCTATGCCTACTTAATAATTTGATCACTTTTTTTCCCTCAGGCACTTCATTCTCTTGATTAAGTTGCTAATGTATTCTTCTAATCTTCCTACTACTACTCAAAGTACTCATTTATGTATTCATCTCTGGCTCTTCTTGGTCTCTAATCTGTATGATTCTGGTTTTTGCACTCTGTCCTCCCTCTATGTTTCTTGGGTAATCTCATCACTTCCCAGTTTCAAACAAATAAATGCCAGGAATTGTTGACACTAACTCAAAGTACATTTTAGAAAACCAAACACATAGTTACCTCCAAATTTGTTCCTTCTTATAAATTCTTTATCTGTTAATGATGGGGCTATCAAGCTAAAATGCCAAAACTTAACACTTCATTAAACTAACCCAGTCTCCTTTGCATTCTACAAGGAACAGTTGCCAAATCCTACAGATTCTACCATCAAAGTCTCTTTAAAATTGCCCTATTCTCAAGGTACTCTGACAAATGACCAAACCAGGACCTAATTTCTCCTTGAATAATTTATAATAATCTCTAACTTCCTTTCTCCAGGATCTTTGCATCTTACCCTATATCCTAATCCCATCCATAATATACAATTCTGCCACACTAATATTTCTGAGACATACTCATATCACCTCCCACCTCCACCATCCTCTGCCATCCCTTATTTTACTAGGGAAAAAAAATTTAGAATTCAGAACACTTCTGGCTACAACTACTGGCTATAACCTAAACTGACAA